CTGTGCCTGTCGTCTGAAACGGTCCGCCTGCTGCTTGAGCTCGCTGAACTTCCGATACTGCCCAGCCGCTGCCTGCAGCAACTGGTCCAGCGCCTCCATGTCTGCCTTGAACTTGACCAGCTTGGCCTTGTCCTCCTCCTCATACTCGTCCAGGTCATCGAAGAGGTCCCCAACCGCAGGTGCCTGCCAGTCCGCCTGCTGAGGCGGCTCGGGGTCCTGGCACACGGTCTCCGCCTGGTACGCCACCAGCGCGCGCTTATGCTCCAGCACCGCGTCGGCTGCGTCCTCGATGGCCTTCTGATTCTTGGTGCGCAGCTGCAGGACGCGGTCCTCCGCCTCCTGCAGGGCCGCCGCAGAGTTGTCCACCTCCAGCTGGCAGCGGTTGAGCTTGTTGATCGCCTGCCGCAACTCGAGCTCCTTGGACGCCTCCTTCTTGGGCGCCGCCGCCGCCGCCGCCTGCACCTGCGACTGCACCGCCTTGACGGGCCCCAGGTCCACCTGCGGCGCCATCTGCGCCGTGAGGGACTCGACGCGCTCCAGCATGCTGCTGAGCTCCGCCAGCGTGCCGTGGACCGCCGTCGGCTTGCGCCAGGGGGGTCCCTTGCCTGTGCCCTTGCCCTTGTCCGCAGCCGCCGTGCCTGGGACCATTGACTTCCACCCAGGCATGACTGCCTGGCACTTGTTGCACCACCCACCTGACCTCTCCAGCTTCCAGTCGTAGACCCAGCCACCACAGGTCGCACAACACGAGTAGGTCTGGCGCCCGCGCCCCATGGCCTACGCAGGCTCGTGGTGTGTGCCGCCGACGCTCCGAGGTGGGGCGGACCACCTCGGCGCTCGCCCTGGGGCTGACCAGGGGAAGGACTGCAAACTGGCCGCGGACTAGCGGTATCCACTTGTTCCCCTGCGGAACTAAGCATCTTGAGCCAAAATGGCTACAGAGGAGGAGGAGGAGGAGGAGGAGGAGGACGAGGAGGGAGGAGGTGGCGGAGGAGGAGGAGGAGGAGGAGGAGGAGACGGAGGGGGAAAGGGATGAAGAGGCGGGGGGGCTGGATGAGGAGGAGAAAGCCAGGAGGAGGAGGAGGAGTAGGAGGAGGAGGACGAGGAGGACGAGGAGGACGATGAGGATGCATGGTGGATGAGGGTCACGGGTGATGACATTGGCGATGAAGAGGGGCAGGGCAAGGAGACGGAGGACGAGTATGATGATGATGATGATGATGATGATGATGATGATGATGATGATGATGATGATGATGATGATGATGATGAGGGGGAGGTTGATGATGATGATGCAGATGATGACGGTGCTGATGATGATGATGATGATGCTGAAGGTGATGCTGATGCTCATGATCATGCTGCTGATGATGATTCTGATTCCGATGTCGATGCTGATGATGGTGACGATTATGATTCTGATGATGCGGATGTTGTTAATCATGATGCTGCTGATACTGATGCTGATAATGATGATGACGCTGACGATGGTGCTGATGCTGATGCTGATGATGATGCCGACGATGATGCTAATGCTGCTGCTGATGATTATGTTGCTGATGATTCTGGTGGTGGTGATGATGATGCTGATGCTGATGATGACGATGATGATCGCACTGACGATGCTGATGATGCTGATGGTGATTTTGGTGAGGATGATGAACATGATGATGCTGCGGCTGACTATGATGAGGGTGATGATGGTGATGATGACGATGGTGATGATGGTGATGGTGATGCTGCTGATGCTGACGAGGCTGATGATTCTGATGCTGATGACGTTGATGATTATGCTGATATTGCTGATGATGAGGATGATTATGATGATCGTGATGCTGATGCTGATGCGGATGCTGCTGGTGATGATGCTGATTGTGGTGGTGGTGTTGACGACGATGATAAAGATGATGATGATGATGATGATGCTGATTATGATGGTGATGATGATGCTGTTGATGATGATGGTGATGATGATGATGATGACGATACTGCTGATGCTGATGCTGATGCTGATGCTGATGCTTATACCGATGATTATGATGTTGATTATGATGCTGATGCTGTTGATGATGACGATGCTGATGCTGATGATGATGATTATGCTGATGCTGGTGATAATGATGATGACGATGATGATGCTGGTAATGATGCTGATGATGATGATGACGATGATGAATATGAATAAGAACTGATGTTAATAACAGTAGAAATAATGATACTAGTAATACAGAACAATCGCAATCTTAACACTACTAGTATTACTATTCATGATAATGGTGACACTAGTCATAATACTATGAAACGGAGTAGTAATAATACATATTGCAGTGCGAATGATACTAATACTATTATTCTTTGTAACAAGAATAATATTATGGATACTAGTGTTAAGAAGATTATGAAGACTACTAAAACCAATAATGATACTAGCAGTAATAATAATATTCAGAATAAGGGGAGGGGGATGATGATGATGAGGAGGAGCAGGAGCAGGAGGAGGAGCAGGAGGAGGAGAAGGAGGATGAGGAGGAGGAGCAGAAGGAGGACGACGACTGGACACTCTCGCTTTCTTCCGACCACGGGCGGTTAGCGACGGCGGCGCAATCCCGTAAAGTGGAAACAACACGAGGAGGAGGAGGAGAAGGAGGAGGAGGAGGTTGAGGATGAACAGGAAGAGGGGGAGGAGGAGGAAAAACACCAGGAAACATAATAGGAAAAGGATGAGATGGAAGAGGGCGAGCAGAAGGATTACAGGCGACGGAGGAGGAAGCGTAAGCAGATGCGGAGGAGGAAAAGGAGGAGTAACAGGAGGGGGATGAGGAGCAGGAGGATGAGGGGGAGGAGGAGGAGGGGGAGGAGGAGGCGGAGAAGGAGGAGGATGAGGAGGAGGATGAGGAGAAGGAACAGGGCGGCGAACAGAAGAGACAGACGCCGGTCTATGCCTCTCGGAGTCTCTTCATATGACTCATGAATGTTTTTTAGAAGCGTTTTGGGGCGTCTGGGGGGGCATCTTGGCGATCCCACGGCCGCCTTTGAGCGTCTTGGGTGCTTCGGGGATCCTCTTGAGGCCTCTTGGGTGTCTATTTGGGGCCTCTTGGATGCCCTTTGGGCGCCTCTTGGGGCCGTCTGGGCGCCTATTGGGGCCCTCTTGGGGCGCTCTTGGGAGCTTTGCGGGCGCTCTCTGAATGATCTTGGAAGACATTGATCAAAAAAGAGGAGGGGAGCTTCAACTGGGGACCCCCCACGGGAGCCCCAACAATCGCTTGTTGGGGCGCTCTTGGGGCGCTCTTGGATCGCTCTTTGGCGCTCTTGGGGCCGTCTTGGGGCTCAAATTGGGCCTCTCCTGGGGCCCTCTTGGGCCTTCTTGGAGGCATCTGAAGGCCTCGGCTGGCCACTGTAAACGAACAGGCGATAAAGCAAGACATTGATTCACCTCAGGCTTTGGAAGGATTTTGGCTTCTTCGGGGCCTCCTTGGGGAGCTCTTTGGCCACTTGGAGCCGTCATGGGGCGGTCTTGGGGCCTCTTGGAGCGTCTTGGAAACCATCCTGAGCGATCTTGTGCTATCTGGAGCCATCTTGTAGGCCAGCTTGCAATCCTGAGGCCCTCTTGGAGCCGTCTTGGGCCATCCTAGAGGCTCCAACGCGCCGCGACCAGCTCCATCAAAGTCCAGGGGAGGGGGGGAGGGGGATAGGTGGACCCCTCCCCGAAGGGGAAGAGGAGCACCGTGACGAAGGTTTCTTTCAATCCGCCTTCGCCAACAGCGCATCAGCGCGGAGTAGCTGGGAGTAGAAATATTCTACAGTCAACCCGCATGAGAAGGATGGGCAACCCTCCCAAGGGTACCCTTGCATTCTTGCCACTTTGGCCCATCCTCAGCGACTTTCGCTGGCCAACCTCGTTCGACGAAACGTTAGCATGGCCCTCCAAGGCCCTTGCATCCTTACCGCACATCCTTATCATACAGGTTGGCTGTAACTACTCCGCGCGTGGGCGCATCCCGCTCGATCGTTCGTGGGGTTTGGCGCGGACCAGTTTCCGATCCAGTTTTTTGGGGTAAAAGAGCGATAAGCATCAGGCGGATCGGAAACTGCTCCGCCGACTGACGCAGGCCTCACGCCATGCCCGGAATCTTTTTAGGGGGGTAGGAAATATCATCATCATGGCATCGGCGTCAACCCGACATACTTATACTATATGTGTGTCGCCCCCCCCCCCCCCCAGGGGCGCCGTGCACACCGAGAAATCTTATAGTATATGCGTCGTGGCGGGCTCTTTCTGGCCCCACCGCTCGGGAAACGATCTACTGCAAGGTGGGTATAATACATGTTCGGGTCGCACGCGCGCCTCCGAGAAGGGCATGTAGTATTAGTATGTCCCTGTGCGTCCCAATGGCAAATTGCAGAAACGGTTGTCACGACTGTGCAGCATGCCCGCCTGAGTCCCGCCAAGTCTGCTTGGGGTGCTCCAGCAAATGGACAAATGATTCGAACCCTCACACACACTCGAGGGAGGCTCTCAATCACCGCCACGCCCCCGACCTCAATGTCGATCTCAGTAGAGGCGGTGCTTTGGGGGCTCGCATCTTCCTGTCCACTCACGTTCCCCCCCCCGTCGTCACGCCACCAATATTAGTTTCGGGGGGTCTGGGGTCATGTCGGGCGTGTCCCCCTACAGGGTCGAGGAAAAATGAAAAATACCCCAAAGATGCCCTCGAAGGGCCAAAACATATTCAAAAAGTAGTCCCCAGACTGTTTCTGGACAATTTTTGGACGATGTTTTTTTTTTTTTTTTTTTTTTTTTTTTTTTTTTGTTTTTTTTTTGTTGATATTATTTATTTTTCGTCGAACATCCCCTTGTAGGGGGGACAGGCCCGACTTAAGTCTGGGGGGCATCCTGGGCCACAGGGTTCGCATCTGATGCCCCTGTACGGCCCGTGGCCCCGTGCTCGAGGCGCCGAGGGCGCCGCCGGCCGGGGAGGGCCCCCGCCCTGCCGCGCCGCATGGTGCAGGCCGCCGCTCCGCGCACCGGCGGGGGCGGCCTGCACCGGAGCGCCTCCGTCCCGGCCGGGCTGCGGCCGCGCGCGCGGGGGTCGCCAGGAGTCTCAAGCAGCGGCGAAGCGTCCTGGGTCGTCTGTAGCCCCACCAAGCAATGCTCTAAGGACCCTTTTTTGTGGCTCCCACGAGATGTTCTTAGAGCGTTTCTGGTTGGGGCTGTCCTGTTTTATCACATCGGGCTTGTGTTCTAAGAACACGTTGCTTTTGCTCTTAGAACGTTTTGGGGTTCTAAGAAGATTGCGTGGTAGGACTACAGGAATGCCGGGACGGTCGGTCCCTGCTGAAAGGAGTTGGAAGAGGTGCCAATGCGGCTGCTTTTTGCCTCGCTCTCTCCTTTTCGGGCCTCCTGGGAGGCCCTAGACGCCACCGCGGGAGGCGCCTTGGAGATGGGCCTCCTGGGAGGCCGTGGGAGGCCACCGTCGCCACGACGTGGTGCGGATTCGAGTACTTTTTTCCGCCCCACGAGGTCGCAGCGCGGCGGGCGAGCCTCCCCTCGCCTCGCCGAGGGCGTCCTCCTCGTGGCGCGGCAGGCGGGCTCCTGTGCTGCCTCGGCGTGGGAGCCCTTCCACTTTCGGCGCCACGGCGACGGCTGCATCTCCTTCAAGCCGGCCACGCGCCCAGGGACCTCGGCCACGCGCAGAGGGGGGTAGGGGGAGGGGGGAAGGCTTCCCAAACCCCCCCCTGCTTCTTGGCAGGCGCGGGCCTTCTCTACACGTGTAAGGCCGGCGCCTTCCAAGGAGCAGTCCCCTTTTAGGAAGCCTTCCCCCTCCCCCTACCCCCCCCGCTGCGCGCCGCCAAGGACCGTCGAAGAGAGCGAGGAGCTGTTCCTGAACGCGGACTGGAGGAGGCCGGTCGTGGCGGCGGCGTGGCGGTCGTTCGTGCCTGGGGCCGGCGTGGGCACGGCCCGCAGTGTCAGCGGGGAGGCGCTGTCCTGCAGCGGTGCCAGTGGCGACGGGGACGCGCTGTACCCGTTCAGCCTCACCTACGCCCCGCTGCAGGGGGGCCCAGGTGAGGAGGAGCAGCTCCCGACGCAGCGGCGCACGCTGATGTTGGCGGCCGGGGACAGCCGCACACGGGACACATGGCTCGCGAGCTTTTCTGGGAAGCCTCTGCCTTCGGGCGCCCGCGGCGTAGCGCCGACGCCAACTCCAGCGCCGCGCGCCTCTGCCAGAGCTCCCACCGCCGCGGAGACCGCCAAGGCACCTTGGCGTCGCAAGCCCCGACGCCCTGGCGTCGATAAACTCGTCGCCGCTTTGCCGCGGCTGCGGCAATCGGCCGTGACTTGCCCAGGAGGCTTCGGCATGCTCGGGAGCAGGCCCGCGCTGGCGCCCGAGGGCGAGAGGCAGAGGCTGTCGCCTGGGGATGGGAATCTGTGGGCGTCCTACTCGGATTTCGCTGTCGTGCGGGAGTTGTACGACGGGTACGCGGCCGACCCGCTGGCGGCACCAGAGAAAACGATGCCCAGGGCCGGCACGGCTGTCGGCGGCGGCAGTCTCGACGCTGGCCCCGACGACTTTCTCGGTAGGTACCTTGACCGGCAGGCGGAGATCGAGGGCTTGCTCAAGCAGAGGCCGGCGAGGCTCGAAGAAGAAAAAAACACATAAACATAATTTTTTGGCGCTCCGCGCGGGTTTCTCGGATCCGCGCTGGAGCCCCCCGGCGGCGCCTCCGGCGCCGCCCTTGGCGCGCTCTGCGCGCCAAGGAGGGGGGCCCAGCGCGGATCCAAGAAATCTGCGCGGACCGTCGAAAGTTTATGTTTATGCGCTTTTTTCTCCCTCTGGAGGCGCTTTCCGCCGTCCCTGGCCGCCTCGCCCGTCGGCGGCCGGCCCGGCGACGATGCGGGCGTGGTGGACAGGTTGTTGCCCGCCGCCCCAGCGGCTGAGGCTGGGGCGCTCGACGGCGTGCTCACGAGGCCGCTGCGACTGGAGCGGAAGACGTCGAACCTGCGGCTGGACGGGGAGGCGTCGGGGAATGCCAGCCACCTACACCGATCCCGGCCATGCCGAGTTGGGCTCAGGATTCGAGTAGGAGGAGGAGGAGGAGGCGGAGGAGAAGGAGGAGCAGGAGGAGGAGGAGGATTGGCGTGGCCAGGATCGTTGTGGGTGTGAAAGCTGGTGTCGCCCCGAGGTTCTCAGAAACGACGAGTGGAGCGGCGGCGCCATGTTTGTGCCGCCGGACGCTCAGAACTTCCGCTTCACCGTGGTCCCCCTGGACGAGCTCGACACGCGCCCCGTCTTCATCGGCATCGCGCCCGCGGACGCAGACCTCTCTGATGGGCCTGTTTTCCACCACCACCATAAGTTGGAGGGGGAGGGGGTCTTCCTCCTCCTCCTCCTCATCCTCCTCCTCATCCTCCACCTCCTTCCCCCCTCCAACTCATGGTGGTGGTGGTGGAAAACAGGCCCATCACTCTCCATCGTGAACTTCTTCGACGTGGAGTGCGGCATCTTCCTCTGCATGGGCGGCGCGGCGACCAGCGCCCTCTCGGCCTCCTGCGGCGCGCCCGGGGGCCCGTGCTTCCACGCGTTCGGCAGGCGGAGCGTGTCCGTGCTGCCGGTGCTCAGCCCAGGGTGCTCGCGAGGGGAAACAACACAGACGCAATTCATCGTCGGTTCCCCAGAAAATATTGGAAGACACGGGAAGCGGGGGGGAAGACGAAGACCCAGAACGTATGGGAAAATATGGGGAGTCCTGTTATTATTTGTGTCTGTTTATTGGTGTGTCCCTGGGCCATGTCGGCACCGCCTGCACCCTGGCCCGCCCTCCGGCCGCCTGAGGCCCCGCCCGCCTGTGCTCTGTCTCCCCAATTAGAGCTTAGCGTAGCCCGCCTAGCTTTTAACCGGAAGAGGCTCGCTCTCGACCCGCAGACCAAAACAAGTGTGTCCCTGGGCCCCTTCAGGTACACGTTGTCGGTTGCGTTCGAGACCACGGTGCCCGAGCCCGGGGCGGAGCCCGAGGGGCGCGTGTACTTCGTCGTGGGCGACAGGCACGGCGAGGGGATCTTCTACGACAAGCCGAAGCTCCCAAGGACGTCCTTCTTGGGTTGTGCGGGGCTCACCCCAGCCCTGCATTCAACCTTTCGCTGTCCTTCGCCTCTGGCCCTCCATCTCTCTCTCTCTCTGTCTCTCTCTCTCTCTACATCCGTTTCAGTATTGCTACCATGTCCAACATGCATGTCTCTCCGCCAGTCTGAATGTGTGTCTGTCTCTTCTCGTTTTTTCGTTGCATTCTCTGCCTCTGTCTCTCCCCGCTTCTCTCTGTGGCCATGTTTTCTCTCCCTTCCTCTCTTGCTCTTCTCTTTCTTTCCTTCGCTCGCTTCTGTCTTCTCTTTCTCTCCCTCGCTCGTGCTATCTCTCTCTTTCTCTCCGTCGTGTCCTCTACTGTTTTCCTCTCTCAGTATCTTCATATCTCTCCCTGTGGCTCCCTCTCTCTCTTTGCCTCTCTCTCTCTCACTCTCACTCTTTCTCTTTATCTCCTATGTATTTTGTGGTTCCCCCCCCTCTCTCTGTCTCTCTGCGTACAGTACACACATGTATGTATGTATGTATGTATGTATGTATGTATGTATGTATGCATGCATGCATGCATGCATGCATGCATGCATGCATGCATGCATGTATGTATGTATACATGTATGTATGTATGTATGCATGTATGCATGTATACATGTATGCATGTATGCATGTATAGGTGTAGATATGTATGTCTGTCTGTATGTATGTATGTATGCATGTATGCATGTATGCATGTATGCATGTATGCATACATGCATGCATGCATGCATGCATGCATGCATGCATTGTATGTATGTATGTATGTATTCATGTATGTATGTATATATGTATGTATGCATGTACGTATGTATGTATGTATGCATGCATATACGTATGTATACATGTATGTATGTATGCATGCATGTATGTATGTATGTATGCATATATGTATGTATGTATGTATGTATGCATGCATGTATGTATGTATGTATGCATGTATGTAGGTATGTAGGTAGGTATGTATGCATGTCTGTCTGTCTGTCTGTCTGTCTGTATGTATGTATGCATGCATGCATGCACGCATGCATGTATGCATGTATGCATGCATGTATGTATGTATGTATGTATGTATGTATGTATGTATGTATGTATGTATGTACGTACGTACGTACGTACGTACGTACGTATGTATATATGTACGCATGCATGTTTGTATGTATGTATGTATGTATATATATATATGTATAAATATGGATGTATCTCGAAGACGCCTGCTGCGAATCACCGCCGCCCCCGGCCTTTTGGATTCGCCCATGTGGCCGAGCGATGTGGCAAGAGCTCTGCCAAGCTGTTGGACTATGTGTTCTTCCAGCCGTTGTGGAAACCCTTTGGGGAACACTTTTGGGAGGATGGCGGGAAGATCAGGAGGAGGATGAGGAGGAGAAGGAGGAGGAGGAGGAGGCGGAGGAGGGGGCATCTTGGGAGCCTCTGGGGGCACCGTCGGGCCTCCTGGGAGCTTCCTGGGAGCCCCCTGGAGGTCTTGGGGTGGCCTCGGGTCTGTCGGGTGCCTCTTTGCCCGTCTTAGGGCGTTCCTGCCCCGTCTGACGCCGTCGGAAGCCGTCTTGGGGGCCTCTCTGGGCCGACTTGGGGCCCTGTTGGTATGCTCCAGGGCCATCTTGAATGTTATCTTGGGCGTCTTGGAGGTCTCTTGGGCCGTTTTCGGGCCCTCTTGGGGCCGTCTCGGGGGCCTCTTGGGCCGTTCTGAGGCCATCTTGGAGGTGTCTTGGGTGACCTTGGCGCGATCCTTGGGGGCTCTTTGGTCCTGGAGACCCTTTTGGGGGCCTCTCGGGCAGTCTTGGAGGCCTCTTGGGGGGTACTTGCGGACCTTGTGGGCCGTTATGGGCCATCTTGACGCCATCTTGGGCCGTTTTGGGTGCACTGGGGGCCATCTTGCGCTCTCTTGGCGCCATCTTCGCCATCTTCGCCGTCTTGGAGGCATCTTGGAGGCCATCGTGGGCCACATCGGCCGTCGGGGAGGCATCTTGGAATGCATTTTGGGCCATCTTGGGCGAGGACTGCACTGATGTGTATATTTTCCAAGTGGCCGGCGCGGCGCGCTGGGCCGAAGCCCCAGGGGGAGTTCTAAAAGAACCAGCAACCTCCTGAAATCTGGCGCGCCAAGCACCCCTGTGGCAAGCCAACGGGGTGGCGGATCTAATGGCCTTCGGCCCATCCCCCAAGACCGCACCAAGACGGCCCCAGAGGGCCGCCAAGACGGCCCAAGTGGGCGTCAAGACTGTCCAACAGAGCCCCGAGACGGCCCAAGAGAGGCCCATTACGGTTTAAAAATGCTCCCAAGAGAGCCCCAAGAGGGCCACAGGATGTCCCCATGGGGACCCAGGAAGGCCCCAAGAGGGCCCCAAGACTGCCTAAGCCCGCCAAGACGGCCCAGGAGGGTCCCGTGACGGCTCAAAAGGGCTCCAAGACGGCCCAAAAGAACCCCAAAAGGACCCCCAGGAAGTCCCGCAAATTCAATATTGATTGATTTTCGCAAGGTTGGTTGCTAGATTTATGTACGTCGTACCGAAGCCGTAACACCAACAGGGCCCCAAGACACTAAGCCAGCGACCTCGCGCTCTCACAAAATAAACGCGCTTTCCGTCCCCATGCCAAGCAGGTAACAGAAAGAGCGATGTACGAGTGATGACGTTCAGGTGGGGCCAAGCCCTAAAGGGAGGGGTTCCAGGGGAGGGGCGAAGGTCGCGGACATCGAGTGTAATGACCACCTTTCTTTGACTTTTTTCGAGTGAAGCGGCTCCTGGGCGGCTGCCACGGTTCGTTTCTTCGTATTTTTTTGAAGGACGCGGCCCAAGGGCTCCAAGACGGCCCAAGAGGGCCCCAAAACAGCTCCTCAGGGCACCAAGATGGGCCCAAGAGAGCCTCACATGGCCTCCAGGCGGCCCAAGAGAGCCTCAAGACGGCTCCAGAGGCCCTCCAGGGGCTCTCGAGAGGGCCCCCCCAGGGGCAAACGACATTGATGTTTCTCTGCTTTTTGTATGGTTTTGTTTGTTTTTTTTTTTCTGGTCAAGAACGGTCCAAAGCGGCTCAAGAGGCTCCAAACAAAGATCGTCGCAAGACGGCCCCAGAGGCCCCCGAACGGGCCTGAACACATTCCAAGAGGGCCTCAAGACAGCCCCAGAGTGGCCCCAAACGGTCCAATAGGTCTCCAAGACGGCCCGAGAGGGCTCCAAGACGGCCCCAGATAGCCCTAATAGATCCCAACGAGGCTCCCTAGAGGGCCCCCAAGAGGCCCCCGAGAGAGCCCCAAGACGGCTAATGGCCTCCAAGACGACCCAAGACGGCCCACAAGGGCCCCAAGACGGCCCGAATGTGCTCCACAAGGCAACACGGCCCCCAAGAAGACCCCGACGAGGCCTCAGAGACAATCAAGAACACCATGGCTCCCATCAGCGAGCGGTGACGTGACAAGCTCTTGACACCAAGGCTCCCCAAAACGCTATGACGTAAAGAGCTCGTCACACCAAGGCTCCCAAGAGCGAGCGGCAACGTAAAAGTCTCTGAACACTAGGGCTCCCAACGGAGAGCGGCGACGTAACAAGCTCTTCACACCAAGGCTCCCAAGCACGAAGGTGACGTAAAAAGCTCGTCACACCAAGGCTCCCAAGCACGAAGGTGGCGTAAAAAGCTCGTCACACCAAGGCTCTCAAAAGCGAGCGGCAACATACAAATCTGTGAACACCGAGGCTCCCAACAGAGAGTGGTGGCGTAACAAGCTCTTTCCACCAAGGCTCCCAAGAGCGAACGGTGACGTGGCAAACTCGTGCACACCAAGGCTCCCAAGAGCGAACGGTGCCGTAAACAACTCTCAACACCAAGGCTACCAGGAGCGAGCGGCAACGTAGAAGTCTCTGAACACCAAGGCTCCCAAGAGCGAGTGGCGTCGTAACAAGCTCTTACCACCAAGGCTCCCAAGAGCGAAAGGTGCGTGAGCCTTCCCAGGCAAGTTCCTGGTCCACTCTTCCGTTTCCGTGTCGGCCCAGGTACCGGAAAGAGCGAGGTATGAGTGATGACGTTGTGTTTGGGCGAAGCCCTCTAGGGAGTGGTCCAGGGGGGGAGGTGGGGCGGATGGATGATTGTTAATGGCCGCTCGGGGCGTCTTGGAGGCCTCTTGGGCGCTTCTTGGGCCGTCTTGGGCGCTCAAGACGGTGCAAGAGGGGTCCAAGACGGCCCAAGACACCTCCACGACGGCCCAAGAGCGCTCCAAGAGAGCCCAAGACCGCCCAAGACGGCCCAAGAGGCATCCAAGACGGCCCAATAGGCGCCCAAGGGGCGTCCCAAGAGGGCCCCAAAAGGACACAGACATTCCTTTTCCTTAGGCAAACGTGCATTTTGGGCATGCGCGACTTTTCGGCCTCCACGGCGTCGACGACGGCCCAAGAGGTCCCCCAAACCGCCCCGGGACGGCCCAAGAGGCCCCCAAAACGGCCCAAGAGGGCGCCAAGACGGCCCAAGAGGCGCCCAAGACGGCCCAGGAGGGCCCCAAGACGGCCCCAGAAGGGGGACCACGAACCCGAAAGTCTAGCCTTTCGCCCCAAGACGCTCCCAGGAGGCCCCCACAGACCCCCAAGAAGCCCCAAGAGGCCCCCAAAGGGGCTCGAAAAGGGCTGCAATAGCACTCCCAAGAAGGCTCAGAGAAGCCAAATAAAGAGCGATCGGTAACGCAACATGCTCTTCACACCAAGGCTCCCAAGAGCGAACGGTGACGTAAACAAGCTGGTAAGACCAAGGCTCCCAGCAGGGAGCGATGACGTAACAAGTTCCTGACACCTAGGCCCAGCCAAGGCTCAGGAACGGGCGACAACGCAACAATCTCTGAACACCAATGCTCCCAAGAGCGCGGGGTGACGTAACAAGCTCTCAACGCCAAGGCTCCGGGTACGAACGGTGGTGTGAGTAATTTCGGTTTCTGTTTCTGAAGCGCTCTTTCCGTTTCCGTGCCGGCCCAGGTAACGGA